AGTTGTCACTGCTGCAGTTGGTGATTCCCTTGATTTTGGGACCTCTGTCGTCGTCATAGCAATAGCATCACCAGCTGTATCTGTGTCGACTGTCCCAGATAAGGTAGAATCTGTTGTTGTTGTTGTTGTTGTTGTTGTTGTTGTTGTTGTTGTTGTTGTGGGGGTCTGTCTTCAAATAGCCACACTATTTTTCTTTAACAAATCTTTCAACAGCTTGTTTTCTTTGGTAGCCGATTCAACTCGAGTTTTCAACAGGTGAACTTCTTGAGCTAGAAGAGAAAAGAATTATAAAGAGTATGTCAACTGCATTGTAACAAGCCTCGCTCAAAACACAGAGCTATCATGGTGAAATCACGGCAAATACAGTGTAAGCTATCACGACCTATCACGTGCAAGCCTTGTGTTTCTATAAAAATCTTACCAAGCAGAGCGAAGCCATCGCAATGTGAGTCCAGTTTTGTGGTTGAAACAAGCCCACGATTACCTAATGTGCTCGCTGCGATGTGAAATATGAACGAAACACTACTGATAACCCTTCGTCAGCAAAGGTGCAGAAGTGTCTCATTTAGCTGTATGAAACAGACACGTACGTTAGGAAAAATGCGTGGTCGTTCTACCAAATCAGTTTGATGTTATAAAAGAGATAGGGAACCATCAACCTCAATGCGCCACTGATAAACGAATTGGTACAACTCTGTTATTAACCCAAAACCACAATGCATCGTCCTCCCCCGCACTTCCTAACCTTTGGTTATTACCAGTTTTTATGATATATCCTCGAGAACGCATCCTAATTTCGTTTCGGCCTGTCTGCAGCAGAAAACAATCGAGATTTTTTGTGAAGACTGAAAATTGGCCGCCACTTTAGGTTTCTTCAGGGGTTTTTGGCCTCGTTTTAGTGTCCATCTGCTACGTCTAGGGTTAGATAATTTATGCTCGAAAATTTGAGCATTATGCTTTTCAGCGGCACTCCAAAAATCATAGCATTACGCTCGAAATTATGCTCAAAGATGCTGGGTATATTTTGCGCAAAAAAAGAGACAAAATGTGGGCTAACATGCACCCTCAAACTTACAGGCCTGGGGAGCCAGGCATAAAGTAAGATAGCCAGGCCTTCAAACAGAAAACCAGGCCTTCAACGAAGCCAAATAATTGCATAAAGCAGCCACAAAGCCCACAATTGACGGGACAATTTTTAAACACATTATTTTAGTGTTTTTATTAGCAGGATAATCAAGTTGATATTTTTATCAACTTTTATGCTCCTGTCCTAAACATGACTATTATGCTGGCATTATACTCGATGCTTGCATTATAGTAGTATGCTCGTAATCGTAGCTATAACAAAATTCTCGATGGTGATTGGTTCTCCGCGCACCTATGTGTCACGTAATCGGAGCGCGATCACGTGGGTGTCCAATTACAGGTATCCAATTTGAACTTTTTGTAATGGATAGCTATAATTGGATACCTACGTGATTTTCACGTCAATTACGCGCGCTTTAATGGCTTCCTT